CCGCCGCCGCCGCTCAGACGGCCGGAGGAGGGGCCGCATGCCGTCGCCCGCTCGGACAGACTCTTATACCCGCAGGGGGAACGTAAAAACGCAAAGAGAGAGAGAGAGAGAAAAAGAAGGGACATCGGAGGCGCAAGTGGGAGAGGGGCAACAGCAGGAGAGCCGCAAGTGGGAGGGCGCAGGCCGCCCAGAACAAGAGGCAACATGAGCAGCGCAATAAGTCACACAGAATAGTGATAATAGAGATCAAGAAAAAAAGAGAGTGGAAGAGAGAGAGAGAGAGAGACATACGCCGCCCCCTTTGGGAACGCACCGACGCACAGCTGAGCATGTCGCGTCGGTGTTCTGTCCTTCTGGTCTTCGTTCCTCGTGCCTCCCCTCTAGTCAGTGTAGGGCTTCGCCTCCATGCCGGTGGGGGGCTCCGCCGTCACCTCCCGCCGCCCCACGTCCTCCCAGTTCGTCGACAACACCGTCCCATTGCTCTCCAGAAACGACTTCATCATCGCGCGGCGCTGCTCGTCGGTGCCGTTGCCGTATATCTGCTGGAAGAGCGCGTTGAGCGCCTGCTCCCCCTCCGGCTTGGGGTCTTCGTCGTCGAGCTGCACGGCACTCCAGTCCTTCCCGCGGCTGTTCGGGTAACTGAGCTCCTTCGCGGTGGGTGGCAGCCGCGCCGCTTCTGTTGCTGGTGCCTCTGCCAGCGGTAACGCCACGTCGCCGTCGGGTGCCTGCAACGCCGGCCACTGCGACTCGCTCGCCTTCTTGAGCACCACCTCGACCTTCATCGGCCGCACGTGCACCACCGGTGCGCCAGCGGCAAGCGGGGAGTAGAGACGGTCGACGTTGTGCTGGTACTCGCGGCCCGCCGCGTCGAGGCGGATGCTCACGAGCAGCGACTGCGCGGCCGCCTCCACCCGCACGTCCCCCTCCTGCCGGTCGCGCACGTAGAAGGTGAGGGTGAGCTGCGCAGGTGACTGGAACCACTCGAAGCGCACCGCACCGTCGAACGGCTTTGTTGATGAACTCATTGGCGTCCTGCCGCAGGGGAAAGAAAAAGGTTTTGTGTGTAGTGTGTAGTGTGCTTGCAGCGAAGCGCCGATGCACCAGCCTCAGCAGACAAGAGCCACCGGCGAAAGGGAAAAGGAAAAAAAAAA